GTCTCAGACACTTCGCCAAAGGATCAATGCCCACAAAACAGATATCAGACAGGATCACAAAGGAAAAACAGTTTCTTGCCATTTCAACCAGAAAGGACATTGTCTCAATGACTTGATTACCTGCATCCTGCTTCAAAGACCTTTTAAGACTTCACTTCAAAGAGAATCCTCTGAACTGTCATTCATGCTTAAATAACTTCACCAATTATCACCTCTAATATCATTAGCTCACAGACATTTACCTCCCTCTCTTCCCCCTCCTCCATCCCCCTTCTGTTTTGAAATTTGATTTGTCCTTTTCGTGTGTTCATTTTTTAAAACTGTATCCTTTGGTATATATGGTTGTGACAATTTTCTTCCACTATTTGATCTGAGGAAGTGGGTCTGGCCCACGAAAGCTCATCACCTAATAAACCATCTTGTTAGTCTTTAAAGTGCTACACAGTCCTGTTTTTTGTTTCAGCTACACCAGACTAACACGGATACATTTCTATCACTATTCTTCAATGTCTCACTATAGCACTGAGACAAAAGGAAAAACTGTGTAGCACTCTAAAGACTAACAAAATGGTTTAATAGGTGATGAGCTTTTGTAGGCCAGACCCACTTCCTCGGCTCATATTCTGCAAGAGAATCGGTATGACCATATATACCAGAAGAATACAATGAAAAAAATGTATTCCTTTGGTATATATGATCATGCCAATTCTCTTCCAGAATATGATCCGAGGAAGTGGGTCTGGCCCACGAAAGCTCATCACCTATTAAACCATCTTGTTAGTCTTTAAAGTGCTACATAGTTTTTTCCTTTTGTTTTAGCAAGAGCAGACTAACACGGCTACATCTCTATCACTATAGCACTGAGCTGAGGGGAGAGCAGATTAGACATGCTTGAAACTAGTTTGGTTTGGGTGTCTGGAGTCCTGATACGGAGCCGTCCTGAAATTGTAAAGTCTACTCTCCGAATTAGTTTTGGCCCCAATGCCATCTGCTTCACCAGCAAGTGAAATTGCAGGCAGCTGGTGCTTGCTCCAGCTAACGTTCTCTAAGGATGCTCCCGTGAGTTATTTGAACTGACTGCCCAATGTCTTTCTCCATCATAGAAAGAGCCTGAGAAACAGTATCCGCTTTCCCTTTCTGCAACAGCCATGGGGACTTTGTGCCCAATTAGCCTGTGTTCTACTGCATTACAGGAAAGCTGGGCATGTTTGCAGCGTCTGCGAGCTATTAGCTGGAAGGGCTGGGTCAGCCGCTCTGATCCATACATTGCATTGCTGAGCATGATGGCTCAGCACCATGACTCCTGTGTTTATGGACCTTTATCAGTGCGGCCTAGTGAACATCAAAGCAGCATCTCTGCTCACGGAGGAAAGCCCTGTCGATAAACACTCCGCACAGCAAGGTAACAACTTCCTGCTCTGAAACCGCAAGTGGAAGGGGGTCAGAGGCCATGCAGCTTTCAGGTATTGTCTTCAAGCCTGGGGTTCATGAGTCCGTTTGTGGCTCCGTTAGAGCTGTAGTGACACAGTGCTTGCCAGGGTGTGGCTCTCAAAGCACTTCCCCAAGATGAGGTGAATGTATTGTGTGTCCCCAGTTTCCAGATGGTGAGCCATATTATTTCCTTTACCTGTAAGGTAGTGTTGCACTGCAAAATAGTCTAGAGGGAGTGCAGTTTCACATCCGTACAATATGTGCCCATGACAGTGGCTGGTACACTTCAGTAGAAGTGCCTTGGTCAGGCCTGTTGGCAGACTCTGAGGGTGAAAAACCCACTAGTCTGTGTTTAGGGTACAGCTGCTAGGCAAAGGCCTGACAGCAGATGTCGCAGCACTTGGAGCTACAGACACAAACTCACACTCCAGCAGTAAAAGACAGCCGTATAGACGTTTTGGCTTGGGGTAGACCTCCAGCACTCAAGACCTGGGTCTCAGAGCCAACGCTGCAGCTCTCACTGGAACATTTAGTGGTAGAGCACACGCCTCTGGCTGTAGATCAGGGCGGTGAGGCCTGTTCCTGCGGGTTTGGGGTTTTTTTTTTCATGCACTGTAGCTGTCGCTGAGCCAAGACTGTTAGTGTGTGGCTTGAAAGGGCTCCAAGCTTTTGGCTACATGTTTACTTAAAAGTTTGCTGCTGGGGAGACAGGCCGTTCCTGCTTCAAGAGCAAAGCGGGGGGCACCTAATGGAAATGGTAGAGGCTTAAGAGACTGCAGGAACAGCCTTTGCTCCTGCCCTTCCTCTCAGCTGTGAGGCCTGGGCAGAGCACATGGGCAGACCTCTGCAGGGAGGGTGCAGCTGGCTGCGGGTGACATGGCTAGGATGCAACCCCCATGCCTGGGCTAGGCTGGCTTTTAGCAAGTCACCCCGGCCACACCCGGGGCCTCACAGCGCCGAGGCCTTACCCAAGCCTGGGCAATCAGCCTGGTTGACGAACCGGCCTCCCGGCTTTGAGGCAGCTGTTCCCAGGCCTGCCTGGCACCCGCCCCCCCTGGCAGCGCCGGAGTCACCGCGCGGGGAGCGGCCGCCCGGACTCTGCGGCCACCCAGTCAGCTGGGCCCCTCCAGC